CTAAAGTCTACACTTACTTTCTGCTGCTCTCATCCTCAGGCCAAAGTAATTCCAGATTTTGAAAAATTACAGGACAAAAAAAAAAAAAAAAAGACAAAAAAAAAGAAAGAAAAAGAAAAATCACAGGACTACCTAGAAGAATTAGTGACCATTTCATATTACAATGAAATAAACTCACAAATTTTAATGGGATTAAAGTCACTCACTAGGATCTCTGTTTTCTTAAGAGCCCAAACTAAAGAGATCTAAATTACCAGGCACCAGCCCTACTACTGTGGCTCAGTTACATCTAAGAGGAATGTACACCCTGTGTACTCTAGAATGTAAGTCACAGAATTAGCTTAATACTTCTGGCTATCTGGCCAAATCAAAGGCAGTGTCTAAATCCATCTAGCGTGGCAAAATTATATTCTCCCCACATGAAATTACAGAAACTGAAGCTGAGGGCTATCCTTGACATGACTAGCTAGAATCAGCACTGAAATATGCCCTAATTGAATACATCGCAATTATAACAATCTGGAATAATGATCAAAATTGATCAGAGACAAGCCATAAGCCTCAAACTCATTTTTAAATGAGTAAGATTGAATTACTTGTGTACTACTGGAAAAAAAAAATGGCTAAAGCATGTGTTACAAGGTCACCAATTAGCTTTTAACGGAGTAGATTTAGAAAGTAACTCTTCCTGGGTAGGAAGGAGAATAATCTAAAAAAAAAATTATTAAGGCTAAATACTGGGTCAAAGTCACACATAAGAGGCAAGAAGCCCTCAACAGACAGGCTAGCCAACTGTCCATACTTGTTCAGTCCTCGAAATCTCCAGCACACTCTATGTTGAAGCCTGAGTGAAATGTTTTAGCTGACACCCCTGCAGACTGACAAGGAATGACCTACTCCAAAAAAAGGGGGTGGCATGGGGTGCTACAGCACTTAGATCACCTTTACTACTGGCCTAGCATGAAATGCTTCTCAGTCACAAACAGTGGCGCTCTAAATAGCAAAACAAATGAAAAACATCTTGCTCATAGTAGGTCCTGTGGATCTTTCACAAAACAAGTCATTCTATATGGCACAATGTTCTACCCCTTTAAGAACATTTGCTAATCATCCCAAATGACACTCTAAAGCATATTATGTAGATTACTGCACTCTTAAAAAGATTTTCCCAAACATGGCTTAAGCTAATTGATGAACATTCATTACTACGCTTTCAGGTCTGGTCCTGCACTGAATGGTCCCAGACATGCTAGTTAGGCTCTGAATATTTGTTTTGTGTCCTGTAGATTATCTCTATTATCCTCACCAGGCTGTTATCTGTTTTTTTTCTTTCGAGACACACAGAGGCTAAAACAGTTCCCCATCCTCCTACCCCACCACCCCCCCTCCACTCCTCTTAACCTCCCACATTACTCACAATCTACTTGTTTCTAATCTACTGTGGGTTTAGAAGCTAGATAACTTTGTTAGAAACACCTGAAATAAATGCCAACAGGTTCTGATTAAGGGTCTCGATGGCTCTCCTATCACTAGAACTTTAGCTTAAAAAGAACTGCTGAAAGCTACAACCAGAAGACATGGCGCCTGGGTGGCTCAGTTGGTTAAGGGTCCAACTCTTGATCTCGGCTCACTAAGGTCATGATCTCTGGGTTCATGAGTTCAAGTCCCATGTCGGGCTCTGCACTGATAGGGTGGAGCCTGCTTGGAAGTCTTTCTCTCTGCCCCTACCCAACTCGTGCTTCCGCTCTCTCTCAAAATAAACTCAAGAAAAAAAAGAAAGCTACAAGAGAGCAACAGATCACCTGGGAGGACCCTATGTCTGAGGCAATGTTCTAGGTACTTCAACCACAATCATTTAATCCTCGTAATAACCTGAAGAGGCAGGTATCCTTACAACCATTTTCAGCCAGAAAAACAAGGCTCAGGAGTTAAGCAATTTGCCCAACATAGTAACTGAGAAACCAACTATTAGCCTGTCTCTCTGATGCCACAACCCATGGCCGTCCTACTACATGAGATTGTAGCCCAATCCTTATTCTCGATGTCGGTCATTGTCTTTGCACTTTATTTCCAATTCTTTCACTGGAATGTGTCTGATGCAGGTTTGCTTTCTTTCTCCAGCCACTTTCTATAACTAAAGGGCAATGGATAGTCAAACTAAGGCCGGAGGAAGTTTAGCTCTACAAGTGTTCACCTGTTCAGCAACAAATGTGTTTCTGAAACACTGGCCACATCCTCAGTTGTATAGATAGTGAAAAACTGATGACAAGCTCCTCCCCAAACTACAGACTGTTCCCAGTGACACTATGAGTTAACACTTGTCTTCCCTGGTAATGTCCTCTACGGTAAAGTATGCAACGCAAGCATACTTTAGAAACTGACTCAGTAACATATCGCAAGCTCCCTCAATTTGTACAATAAAGTGATTTCCTTACTCTGAAGACTGGAGGACAAGGCAGGAGATAGAAGGAGTTTCTACTTTTCTAATTCCATTAAGGAACAGGGGCATACTTGTTCCCTGTTAGATACTTTATTGCCGAGTCCACGGCCTGACACACAGCAAAGCCTATTTTACTTGTTGAATAAATGCTACTTGTTCAATAAATACAAGTTATTTGTTGAATAAATGTATAACCTGTCCTGAATTGGTTTTGAAATCTTTGGATTTCTCACTTCTGACATACCCTTGCAATACTTAGTGGAAAACAGCTTTCATCTCACAAAAACTAAAAGCTTAACAACGGTTCCTCTCCTCCCATCAAAAGACAAGGGATCTGAAAGACATGCCCCTCTCCACCCTCTAAAAATGACTCTCATCCCAAGAACATGAATGAGCCCCCATCTGCCGGACTGTGCCAAATACAGCTTTTATAAGCATTACAAAAACACCTGTATAAAAAAAGCTGCTCTAAAACAAGGCCTTTGGAGTCCTAAAGTACAAAACCAATAGAATAAGGAGAGCATTCAGGCATTTATAAGAGCCAAAACTGAAAATATCACCTAAATACAAAAACTTAATAAATGGGTCTTTGATCAGCAGGCTATGCAGCCACATATCTCCCCCCAACGTGAATATAACAATATGATTCTAATATTTACAATACGAAAATGAAAAGGGGACCTTTTGCCATCTTGAAGTAGAAATAACTTTTGTTCCTATTAAAGAGTGACTGCTGAAATATACAAAACCAACTCCAAATTCCTACTTAGTTAAAACACATACCAGGCCTGACAAGCCACAAACAACAGGAAATTACCCCTCATGGTTTCTTACAGGATTATTATTACACGAACCTTACAGATTGTGTAGATTTGATCACTTTCGGCTAGGCACAGGTAAGTTACAACCATGAAAAAGCAAACTTTTGCTGAACACCTACAATGCAAAAGCACTTTAGAAGACACAACTACAACGCATAAAAGCAAAGCTCTGACAGCAATTTCTTACTAAACAAGCCCAGAAATGGATATTTCCAATCACATTGATTAAAACTTGCCAATGAACTACTTTAAACTCAATTTTAACATTAAGAGTACTAAGTGAGCACTTAGACTCAACATATTCTTATTTATTACCACGACTAATTTTATGGCAAAAATTAAGGAACTTTAAAAACAAAAATCAGTGCTACTTTTCTAATTTAATATAAATGTTTCCTAAATAAACTTCTGGTTGAGAAAATTCCTCCAATATCCTGTATGGTTTTTTTAAAGCAAATGGGAAAAATCCTCAAACTAGTATACATTTATGAAATCGATTTTACATTATGTCTCCCATCTCTGTTATATCTGCTTCGCATATTTATGTATTTACATTAAAACTCCTCAAACTTCATTTAACTACTTAACTTACACTTCTATCTAAAGAAAACGTTTTAAAGGGGGTCAAAACTAGAAAAGCAAATGTATTTTCAGAGTAACAGCAAATTAATTATTTTATGTGGCTCAAGGAAAAACATCCTTACGATCAGTGATACAGGTTCAATTCATATAAAACCAGGAAAAAAATGAAAAGGAACAAAGATTACAGAATTATGAAGAATTCTATAAATTAATTCAAATTTCAAGGAGCACTTTTGAAAGATGTAATTACTCCCAAGTTAAGTTTGTGTGACCACTTATTTATCCATTAACAGTTACTTTACATGTGTTACTTCAGAAGTTTAAAACAGCAAAATTTACGACACTCCAAACTGTAACAAACAAGACACGATTTTGATGGAATAATGCTTCCAAACTCGTTTTACCTGGAGATGTTTTTCTAATTAAAGGTTTAATTGACAAGAAACCGGTAGTATTTAACTTTTAAGAGGTCAAGAGGAAGGAACAACAAAACCAACCTAGGTATTGTTTTCCTTTTGTTTGGGATCAAAAGGAAACCATAACCACAAAAAGGTTAAGTAAAAGCCCAAAGTACCCAACCCAAGGACAGTATCCCCCAAGAGAAAACAAAACAGAGTTGCAATTTGTAAACCAAGTTTGAAATACGCGAATCAATTAGCGTGCTTTCCTAAAGGCGTGTGATAAAAACTAATGGGCTCCGCTCGCAGAGCAACTTTCACAAGTGAATGCAGAAGGATCTCGGCAGAGTATCAGCCGTGTGCGTGCTTGTGAGAGTACACACAAGCAATTCAGAACCCCGGGACTATAATGGTTAACAAAGGTTACGGGGCGGGGGGGGGAGGAAAGTGGAAGCGAAGTATCGCACGCTCCTAACACGGCTTGCCAACAACTCCCGAAACGAGAGCTCCGTCCCTCCGGCTTTGAAAATCAGAACCACAAACTACCAAGCGCGTTCGCGGCGGAGGGGACGGGCCCCGGCCGGCCCCAGCTCCCGGAGGAGCAGCTCGGGCGCCGACCCCTTCCCCTCCGGCCCGTCCGGCCCCGCCACACCCCGGCCCCCAGCCCCCGCGGCCATGTGACGCGGCGAGCCTCGCCGACCCGAGCCCGACACAAACACACCCCTAGCCCCGAGGGCCCGCCGGGCGCCGCCGCTTTACCTGCGCGCCGAGGCTCCGGGTCCCGCCCCGTCAGAGCCGGGGGTCCGGGACCTTTTGTTCCTTCCTCTTCCGAATGGGATGAGGGGCTGGCGGGGAGAGGGGAAGGGGCGATTGGAGGCGGAACTGAAAACACTCTCGCGGCCGCCCGGCCCGCCCCGCCCCCCAGCCACTGCCCGGCCCGCGGCCCGGCGCGCGGGG